TATAGCACAGCTGGCACACTTTTCAACTCAAAAGTGCTTTACAAAACAAGAAAGGAAACATTAAAATAATTAAAGCCGCAAGCGGCATCAAACGGCCCTCGCCGCTCCGCGCGCACCCCCCGCACCGCGTGCACCACCCCGTGCCAAGCCACCCCGCTCCACGCCGCCCTGCACCAAGCCGCCCCGCACCAAGCCACAACGCCCCGCACTACGCCACACCACATCGTACCACGCAGCACCGCTCAAAGGAGGTGGCGCCTGCCGTGTGATGATTTGTTCCCGTAGCCATAGAAGATTGTTAGTCAAATTGTAATGAATATGATAAGTAGCGCTGGTTTGGCTCCCAATGTAAACTTTGACTCAGTCTTTAGGGGGCGCTATTGGGCCAATTTCAAATATTTCACTTTCACCTGACCTAAACCCTGGAGTTGAACAATGGATTCAAGTTTAATGCAAATCAGACTTTGTTTGTGCAAACGGGAAAAAAATTAATGTTGTCAAAAACGGCCAAAAAAACCCTCACATTTTGCCGCTCCGCTGCTCAAACAACGTTTCACTGATCAAAATTCCCTGAAGTCATTTTGAAGGTATATGTGTTGAGATGATTTGGAACAATTTTGAGGCCAATCGGTGAAACGGCCGAGGAGGAGTCGCTTTCCAACCGACGTGTATGAAAATGATTGGTTTTCATTTTTCCATTTTGCAATGAAATTTATGGGCTTCCTGTTTGTCAGAGGGCTTAGCCATAATAAAAAATCTTCCATGTCTTGACTTGAGGAACATGTGTACCAAATTACATGGTTCTACAACAATCTTGACCTCGAACCCCTCCCATAGGCATTCATAAATTGGCTGTTGTAGGTGGCGCTATAGAGCCAAATTCAAAATTTTAACTTTCAAATGACCTAGACCCAAGAGTTGAACCATGGATTCAAGTTTTGTGCAAATCAGACTTTGTTTGTGCAAACGGAAGCAATTTTTCTGTTGTCAAAAACTGAAGAAAAATACGCCACTTTTTGCCGCTCCGCTGCTCAAAATTCGCTGAAGTAATTTTGATGGTACATGTGTTGAGATGATGTGGAGCGATTTTGAGGCGAATCGGTGAAACGGCCGAGGCTGGTTTGATGTTTGTGTGAGGTGTACATTTGCAATGAATGGGGAGCGTTTGTCGTCACCACGGCAACAGGGTAAAGGATAAGCCTTGGACCCTATTGACTTTTTGAATCAAGAGGGCAAAACAGATTTTTGTGCAAAATTTCAAACGTTTTGAAAAAATTAATTTGAAAATGCCCATCTAAAACTTTCAAATAGTCTGTAGGGGGCGCTAATGTGTCAATTTGAATCAATTCACTTTCAAATGACCTAGACCCTAGAGTTGAACAATGTATTAAAGTTTTGTGCTAATCAGACTTTGTTTGTGCAAACGGGAGCAAATTTAATGTTGTCAAAAACGGCCAAAAAAGGTCACATTTTGCCGCTCCGCTGCTCAAACAATGTTTCACTGATCAAAAATCCCTGAGGTCATTTTGAAGGTACATGTGTTGAGATGATGTGGAGCAATCTTGAGGCGAATCGGTGAAACGGCCGAGGAGGAGTCGCTTTCCAACCAACATGTATGAAAACTTTTGCTGTTCATTTTTCCATTTTGCAGTGAAATTTATGGGCTTCCTGTTTGTCAGAGGGCGGAGCCATAATAATATTTTTTTCTTGTCTTGACTTGAGGAACATGTGTATCGAATTTCATGACTCTATAACAAACTTGATCTTCAGAACTCCCATAGGGGTATTATTTTGGCTGTTGTAGGTGGCGCTGTTCTGGCATTTTTTGAGTCCCATAAAAATAAACACCAAAATATCAAATTTTTCGCCAGGTCTGATTTTTGGCTTTTCATGCATGTTCAGAAATAAATAAATAAATAAGGATTTTTTTTTTTACGTCTCGAGCAAAAACAATATAGGTTTCAAAGGCACCTGATACATAATTTTAAAGTGTTTGAGTTTACGCACGCAACCGTCACATTTGTTTTCACCATTGTGAAAGCAATAGGCCCTTACCCCGTTCGGGGCTCGGGCCTAATAAAAACAGTACAGATTGTGCATCAAAATATTCATACAAGGATAGGATTTTTATTCCCTTCACCGATCTGCTCCAATGAGTGTATAGTGTAATATATAAACTGCTATTTATCCTGTTTTGAAAGACTTTTGACTCTCCGTCCTACTGTCCCTGAACTATGCATCAGAACACTGAAATGTCCCCATTGTAGGACGCTGTGTACAAATATTATCTGATGTTGTAAAATGCTCTCTGCATTTTTACATTGGATCGTAAAGTAGTCACCTGATGGATAACTTGACCAACAATGCCTATTACTTAATGGAAGCACATCTCCCCCATCTCTGCTGATAGAAATCACACATATAGTTGAAAGTTACGCTGTTCTTTCACTGATTTTCCCTTTGTTTTCTCATAAAAAGCCCGAGGTACATTCAACTTCTCAGAGACCTTGCGTTCGGCTATTGTGGCATTGTGGACTCAAATCAATATAATTTAAACAATATCTAATGGCAGAAATAAATGTGCGCTCTGAAAAAAAGGACTGGCAGACAGTCTTGTGCGGCGATCTAACTTTCTAACCTTGACAACTGCAAAAACAAATAGATCAGAATAATTACTGTTTAATTACTGTTCCTAATATTCTTAAGTTGTTTCCAAGACTGTTATAAATTTGGAGGTTAAATTTAACAAGAATCAATGAAGAAAATTTTAAATATTAAGACAGAATTATATGGTGTTGAAATAATCCAGCTGGAATCCAGAAATAATGAGATTGTAATCCTTGATTTTGACTCTGCACCTTCCCACCTCTGCACCTTCTCCACCGACTCCCACTGATGACTGCTGTCGTTGTGTCCTTGGGCAAGACACTTAACCCCACTTTGCCCAAAGCCCCCGCTGAAAGATCAAGGCTATGCTCACACTCAGAGAGCAGCCGTCCTCCTGTGGACTCACCACCTGCAGAAGGTCAGTGAGGGGCTGGTGCTATGAGACTTGGGTGGCATCTCTGATTGTCACCCCCCTGACCCAGAAATGGATTAAAGGGTAGAAAATGGATGGATGGATGGGTGATTTTGACTCACCACATACAGGTCCCTCCATATTGAAGCCCACTCCCGCAGTGTGGTGGTCACCTCTTGGACCAAAGGCAGCTCTGTAGGGATGATGGTCTCCTTGTGCCTGCAGGGAATGGGAAATGGTTTGGAATTAGCCAAGAAAATTGATAATTATGACAATAAAAAAAGAAAATCCAGAGAAAAATATATAAAATTGCTTCTGAATCTGTGGCTGAAATCAGAGTTTGATTTGAGTTTGTGAATTTGTAATGTCTGCATATGTCTACCTCCTATGAAAATTAGCGTATCTGGTCTGACCAATGCAACTGTTGTGTCCACATAAAATAAATACATTTTCCAACTATAATCGCAAAAAATAAAGATAAACATGATAATAAAAAGCAGCTCTAATAACAAATTGATAATACATTTTCTGCAGCTTAATCAACTTGTACTGCTGTCACCTTACATTGTGTGCACCATGTGCACTTGTATATTGTAAATAGTAACTGTAACTCTATTTTAAATTTAAATTTATTCTTTAGAAGTGTTTTTTATTCTTATTTTTATTATCTCTTTCTGACTGTTGCACTGAGCCAAAGCAATTTCCAAGTCTGTGACTTCCTGTTACTTACGTGGCAATAAAAATGATTCTGATTCTGATTCTGATTGATTTGGTTGTTTAATACAATTCTGATTTTGTTATATGAGCAATTATAATCCTTGTGGCGCCACCTGCAGGTGAAAACCAGATCCAGTCAGACCTCTAAAGCTAAGCAGGACAGGGCCTGGTTACTACTGTGATGGAAGACCCCTGGGAACACCAAAGCACTAGATACAGTGAACCTCTCTTACCCGCTGCCTTCAACAGTGGCGTCCTTTAGGTGAATGTAACAGGCTGGGAAAATACCCTGGACAAAGATACAATAAACATTTTTTTAAACTGTCAAAATACAAGTCTGCTTTATGTCAAGAGCGTGAGAGAGGCTTACCTTTTTAGATTTCCTTCTCAACCGATGCCCTCTGTACCAGTCTGAAACATCAACAATCAGTACATTCAACAGAGAAACCGCCTCAGCATTAAGCATTAGAATGGTAAAAGTGAAGACAATTATAACAGAACGTGTTCATTAGTATCTTATTATAATTTCATTTAAAGCTGGGTTGCCAAAATATGTAAAACTTAAAAAACTCATAAGATCTATAGGGTCCAAGTTCCTATCTCTTAAATAGGCTTGATTCTGTCACTAGATTTCACAGACATGTATTTTGACCTCTGTCACATCTTTGCATCAGCTTTTTCAGGCAGAATATTTAAAAACGAGAGGACCACCCTGAATCAGCCAATCAGCTCTCAGCCCAAAGTGTCAAACTATAGACTCACAGGGTGTTTCTTTCGAGTATGCAAACAATAGCATGCTTTCTAACAACTCTTTCTGTTGGGGCTAATGTATTATTTATGAAAGCACAAAGTTAGGTAAGCTAGCATTGAAAGATGATTTAGAAGTAGGAGATTTCTCACACAAAAAACAAATTTCAAGAAACTTTAAGCGAAATCCGAAAAAACTATTTACATGTCATACTATACTATCCTTTATTCATGTTGTAGTTTTTAGAATTTCCTGCCTAATTTTCAGATCTATCGCCACATAAAACATAAATACAGTCAGTGCCGCTTTAGTCTGATTTTAACATCTTCAAGCAGTTGTACCGGACATGACAAAACACTTGAGGTAACCGCGGCGACAGATTCAATACATCACTTTGGATTGGATCAAAACATTTGCTCGGGCTCCGCTCACCTTCATACGTCTCTAGTATGTGCACAGTATCTCCGATCTGCAGAGACAGCTCCTCTTCTCCCCGGGCGTCGTAATTATAGATCGCTGGAAGAAGATGAGAGAAAGAAGACAAAATAAGAACCGGAAATTACCACAGACAAGAGGGAGGGTAGCACTGGGCTGCCTTGTGTTGCTAATTGTGTGTCACTGCGATGTGTAACTTGGACATCAAACGAGATGACCAGAACCACACGGCACAAACACACAAACACACAAATGCAGGGGAGAGCAGGGATAAACAGAAGCAGAAGCACAGGGTTGGTATGAAAAAAAATCATTGCCTCATTCAGTTCATTTAATTGAATGAGGATGAATTGGAATTTTAAAAATAACATAATTAATAAAAAAAATAAAAAAACAATATCAATAATAGGCAAGGCAAGTTTATTTGTATAGAACAATTCATCCACAAGGCAACTCAAAGTGCATAAATAATCACAGTACATTAAAAAGAAAGATAAAAATATAAAATCCCTCAGTTGTATGCACAGCTAAACAGAACTGTCTTTAACCTGGTTTTAAACATTGTCATTGAGGAGGCCTGTCTCACATCTTCAGGAAGACTGTTCCAGATTTTAGCAGCATGAATCTGAAAAGCAGCGTCCCCATGTTTAGTTCTGACTCTGGGCACTAACAGGAGTCCAGTCCCTGTGCTCCTCAGAGTCCGGGCTGGTTCATATGGGACTAACATGTCACTAATATATTTTGGTGCGAGGCCATGGAGAGACTTGTACACAAGCAGAGCTGTTTTAAAGTCTATTCTCTGAGCCACAGGAAGCCAGTGCAGAGACCTGAGAACTGGACTAATGTGGTCGTACTTCCTGGTTCTAGTCAGGGCTCGAGCTGCTGCATTTTGAATGTACTGCAGCTGTTTTACAGCCTGTTTTTTTTAAATAATAATAATACTTCTATTTAGATTTTTCTTTTCAATAAGGGAGATTTTATTTTCTCCAAGGCTTTGTTTTAGTCAAATGTGTACAAATATTCATTCTAAATAACTAATCGAAGAGAGAATTAGTGATAGATGTGAACAATCAGCTAACAGTCAATTATCAAAATAATAGTTTGTATCGGATATTTATTTATTTGAACCATTCTTGACAATATTTTTTTGTGCGTGTGATTTAACAAAAAGGTCAACAATCAGAAATGTCACACGGACTACAGAGACGAGCCTGCAGTATTTTCTTTGACACTTTTGCCGCCTCAGCAAAGTGAAGTCTTCTAACCCACGGGGCAACATGTCAAACACGTCAAAATCATTGTTAAAAATGTAATGTTTTATCCACATATGTAGCACATGCCGGGAACAGCTGCCCAGAGTGCTTCTCACAATGAAAAAGGATTAAAACATAAACAAATGAATTAACTTGCTAAACCAGTTTCAAATGCCAATTAATTGTATATCAGGCATACAGACACTCTCAAACTTACTACAGGCATACATTCAAACCTACACACACACTCTCACACAGTTACTACCGGCACACACGCACTCACAGACACACAAACACACACACTAACTATATACACACCACAGACACACCCACACTTGTACACTTCCTACCTGGAAACACACACACACGTACACTTACAACAGGCATATGCACTCTCTCACACACACACACTTTACTACACTCTCACACACACAACAGACACACCCACACATACACCCACACACACACACACACACACACACACACACACACAGCAAGAGTTGAAAATCATTTGCTATAACTCATCAGTTGCATCTCTAGCTGCAACTATATAGGCCTGCATTGTCCCCTTACATAAATTCTTACATAAATAAACAAAAACAATACCACCGACCATTATTCTCCTGTTTAACAAAACCTAATAAATCATAACAAACACTAAGAACTTATTGAGGAAAGTTTTCCTGACTGAGCTGTTAAGTCTCTGCCTCAAATTCAAACTATTACAAAAGGTTTTTCTGTTAATTAAATCAAATGTCCTGTCGTGTTACTGCGGAGAGCCCTGAACTCTGGCGGCGTGGGTCATTTTTAATTTGCTTCTTTCACCTCTGAACAACCTGTGCAGGGAATGCTATTAACCAGAAAACTGGACGGCTAACGACACAAAAAAAGGCCTGAATCATTTGGTAAAAATATTCAATGGTGCTATTTTGACAGGCATGGCAATTTGGACTCATTGTGCGATATGTTGCAGAGAATGCCTTTATTGCCATTACCGATTGAGAGTATTCAAGCTGTAATGAAAGCCCCGGTCACTCACTGTGGTCGGGCTGCATTCACAGAAGAGCTTAAGGAATATAGTAAAATATGAAATGGCAAAATTGGCAGCATTTGTCCATTACTTAAACCATTTACTGTAATTGATTTTGCCATTCACCCTAACACTATGCAGCATAACTGTAGTGAGAGGCTCCTATCACTGCGCTGCCAAACAGAACTTTTTAAGAGATTCTTTGTTACTTTGGCTTTTAAGATTACAACAGATCTGTCCGAGTTTAACATGTGCACTTTATTACAGTTGTTAGAAACTTTTCGAATTATACATGGCACCTTTTTATATATGTGTAGATGTATACTTTGTATGCTATATCATATAATATTGTATTGTAATGTTGAGCATATGAGCCATCCTTGTAACAAACAAAAAACACAATGTCAATCGGGGTATTCCTAAATAAATAATACAAATAAATAAACAAAAATAATGTAGTGTAGATTAGGGAATGACCGATTTGGATTTTTTTTAGGACAGAGGCCGATATAACCTGGCCTTAGTCTTTCGTACACTCTGGTCAATCATAATTTCCCTGCATGTAACGTCTGGGTCTGGTCCCTGTTTTGCAATTACATTGGTTGAATTCCATCCGACCAATCAGCGAGCGCGGGAGGCGGGTGTTGTAGTTAGATGTGGGTGACGTCAAGAGTTTGCGCCAAACGGGCAGGTTGTAGTTTGGCAATGGCGAAGAACGCGATAGTAAAGTAATCCGTTCTGGTTCTATCAAGAAATTGAAGCCGGAGCAAGAGGAATGTTTAGCAAATGTAATCGCTGGCAAAGATTGTGGCACTACTCCCCACAGGCTCCATTAGCAGCAAAGGAGATGGCTAGGCTAAATGCTAACAACTCACTCGGGTGCATTCCATACGTGACGGTAAACTCAGATCCAACCGTTTCAATCTGCAAAAGGAGTTAACCCCTCCCACCTGTTCACGGAGCTCAATGGAGCACATCCAGACCTTAGTACGAAATGTAATTTTTACTATGTGTGTGGTACGACCAGGCTAAGGCCAATGCAGTTTTTTTGCCAAAGATGCCCACAAACTACGCTAACACACTTTCTTTTGCAAGGCACTTGAACTGGAACGTATGGAATGTTATACAGACATGAAAACATTAGAGGAGTTGAAGTTGTCTGAATGATGGTTGCTCATCTTCTCACTAGATACTCACAGAAATATCCTGCGATAGATCAAAACTGGCATGGAATCAAAACGGCACACAGAGTACACATAACACAATGTGGACTCAGAAAAAATACTTCAACTTATTCTTGCAGCCTTCACCTCTGAATACTCATAAAGGTGAATTTGCATTTTCAGCCAGTAAACTAGACTCAATTAGGACGCGAAGGAGCCATCAAGAGGAACAGAGAAGGCGGAGGAAGTGGACCATATTTCCCCAAGAGAGAAAAACACAAATGAATTTTGGAAGAGGTCTAAACAGTGCACTAATTTGCGACGGCAAGGCTCATTACACATAAACTCTTACATAAGGACAAGGGTAACACATTATCAACAACACAGGGTCAAAAGCAGTTTATGAAGCTAAACAAGAAACAGTAGGAAGGAGTCAATATCAAGTATAGCACAAAAGATCAAATGAAATCGAAGGCAAAAATGTGACCTATGTGTTTGGGTGCACCCAGATACGACATACAAATACCACACAGAAAGACCCATCAAATCAGCGACCTTCTTGTATCTCTCACTGTGAGACGGATCAATAGGGAGAAAACACTTTTTTCTAACCACCGGATCAGGCAACCCTCAACACATCACACAAACAGAAGAGCTTAACCAGCAAAACCACTTTTCACAGCTTCTGCCAATAGAATAGTTATTTCCCTTTGTCATTTTACACACTAAAAGCTGTGTCATGACTGTTTGAGTAATTGATCAACTAAAATGTGCATGTCGCCATTGCCCCAGTGACTCTTCTGACCAACACCAACAAGCCCCTCTTCTGATTTTCTTTTCTGAATCTTTGATATGTGGAGGAGTCACACCTTATGACACAGCAGTAAATCTAGTTTGAGTGTGAGACTAGTTTTCAAGCCTAATAGGGAAGTTCTCATAGACAAAGTTTGGCTTACCATTTACACTCACCATTTTGGGCTTACAACTCTTTGATCCTGGTGTTTGTATAGGTGATATTGTCTTTGTAAATCCAGATATGAGCCCTAACAGCTGTCCAACCAGGAGCCTTGTGTGTCCATTCATTTGTCTCCACATTCTCGCACAAATAGTCACTAGCGCTAATCAGGCCCTTCTGCATTAAGGTTAACACTACGATGACAACAGCACTCGGCCAGTCCATTTTTGATGTACAGTCTGGATGGAATGAAGAAATGCACAAAAACGTTTTAGCTCAATACTCATTTCTACATGTAATAATGATCCATAGGTGTTTATAGAAAATCATATACTGTATAGAGACAGAAACAAGTTTTAGTCCCCTGTAAAATGTGTAGATTTGACTGGAGAATAGATTTTACATATCAGCAAATTCTTCGCACTAATAATTTTGCCGGAGTTATCTTATTATCCAATCAGAAGAGATCCTGAAACATGCAGACTGCAGCAGAGCGAGTGCGTAGGAGAAAGGAAAAGTCTTTCACAGAAGTCTCAGTGGGATCGCCGCCAGCGAGGGAAGCCCAGACCGAGGATTCTCCAACATCAGAGTAACCAAAGCAACGCAGGGAATACCACAGCCGCAAATTATGCACTGGACCAATGGACGAGCAAAGTTAAAGTTATATTGTGCCATTGTCT